TTGCCGATGTCCTTGACCCTGCGGTCTTTCCCGACCGAAAAGGACCAATTGGCTGGGTCTTGGCGGGACTTGGACTAGGTAGCCTCCGATGAAAGGATGATATCCAGTGCAGGTGGCCAAAAGGGTGTGTCCAAGTCCTGGCGACGGGAGATACGGTTGCGCCCCGGGCGTCTGTGTGAATCAAGTCGTGGACCCGAGTTCGACTCAGCTGAATTGGCCAAAGGAAGAAGCGCATCCAAGCGCCTCATCCTCCTCCCGGTTCACAGTGTCCAGCCGGGTTGTCAAGTGGGCTGAAAGTGAAATCACACCAGTCCGCTATCGATCAGGAGACCCATAAAGCTCCATCTGGTCACCTCGCTTGCTGTCCGCATACCCACCCTGATTGGTGCAATAAACGGACACTGTTCGTCGCGTTTCGTGTGAATGGGGTTAATTTGGCTGGTCCCGTGTCAGTAAATTCCAGCCGAAAGACACATCTCCCTCGTCAGATGTGGCAGGAATGTGTTCCTTTGCAACGAGCACCAAGAGACGTTTGTGCATGGGTGAATGTACGAGGGCGTTTGCAGGTGATGCCCGATACTACTTTAACAGCACTACTGATTGCCCGAGGATGCGACCAGAATTGACGCGCCAACTTCATCCGGCACTTTTGGGCTGAGCTGGTTGCCAGTGATTGTGTGAACGCAATCGTCTCGGATTCCGCGCAGCATGTCAACGCTAGCATGTGAGTCTGGGACTCTGGTGGCGTCTGCTCTCGAGCGAGGCCATGTTGCATTTTCGAGTGTAAGTGTGCAAGGTTGGAGGAAGAGGCAACTACAAATGGCGTTCAGATTGGCCGGTTTCAATCGACCGGCCACAAACGCATACTGCGCAACATCCGCTCTTCCAAACCGACCGCACAAGCAGAAGATCCCATACCAGCCGCACTTGGACAAAGGGTCATCTTCCACATATGAGATCGATGTCAGTGCCAATTTCTAAATGATTCATCTCGTATGTGGAGCACAATTGCTCCCCTTGGCAACCTAGCAAGGAGTGCCATGAAGATTTGTAGATACGAAGAGTAACTGTGATTCGATGATTCGTCTGAGACAACATTACTGGAGAGACCTTCATTTCATATGAAAGTGCACGAATAAGAGATTCATAGCTCGTAGATATGAAGACCTCCCGCTTGGTCGCAGCTTCCTCCAGCTGTACAGTGTTGGTTCGACCTTGTTTCCGCAACTTGCTCGAAGCGTCAGGGAGACCTTGTGGAACCCACCTCGTCCCGTTTCCTCTGTCATAGTATTAGTGACCTCCAGAATTGTACCTTTGTCTGGGTACATTCCCAAACGTTTCGCTGGCATCGTAGTCGACATCGTCAGTGAGAGGCGCCATCGTATGCACAGAATTAAACCTTTTCAAAATGGCATTTGAAGGTAATCCCCTCTACCAATTTTCTGCTCACTCCTTGCCACTATTTTTTGTTCTACCCTCGAGTGCCGCATCGCTTTCTTTCAACCCCACTTCATATGACCAATCCACTTGCTCAACCAATTCTGTACTCTCGTTCCCTCCAATCTCGCCTAAAAGGGCGTCGCTACAAGTGGGCTTAGTGAAGCGCTGCCAGATGCCGTTTGCAGGGCTCGTGACTTTCATTTTGTCCTTCCTTTTTTTACTACCCGCTGTTAAACATCAAACTCACTTATATGAAATGTATTCACCCTATTTTGTTTAAAGTGATCCAGGACTGGTAGTATGATATTCCACAATGATATGAGTAGAGTTGAAGTTTCCATTAAATTTCACACAGCCTTGTTTTCCCAAAATTCGCCTCTTTCATTACATTAAACAAAATGCGATGAATACACCTCATATTACTGATTTACTGGTAGTCTCAAAACTCCACGTATATATCAAAATCACTATTTGGCTGTATGAAATCTGGCCGCCTAAGAGACTTCAATTCCCGTCCTGGATTTCGCCATATTCAAGGATTTAGATAAGATTATGCCCATGTCCATGTCCATGCACATACCAGTGCCTATGAATCTCCCTCTGCCTAGGCTTCAAGACAATGGCTCGAGTATCTTCTCATTTTTTGGGGCCCTGTGCACGGCTTAGGTCATAACTGCTGGTGTGCTATTGCTAAGCTTACCTTTTTTCTTTGAATCGCGAAAAGCATACTCCTCTCGCTTCTCAAGTTGTGTATTGCTTTATATCGATATCCTTTCCCAAGATACATCAGAGTTAGTTGTCCCAGTTACTCTTTTCAGAATGCAGAATCCGTAAATCATCGGCTTCTTATGACCATACTCCGGAGTATTCCTAACTGTATACCATAAGTATAGTTCGACTGGAAGCTACGAGTTATTCCAGCAAAGTCTTCTATTGAGAGTTTCCTTAGAGCGAATGACCTCCACATCCAAGAACGGTAAGTGTCCGTTCTACTCCACATCACTCTTAAATTTGAATTTTTATCCATTTTTTTATGAAGATCAAGAAATCATCTAACTTTCCTCTTCCATTCGACCAAATTGCGAAGTAGTCATCCAAATATCGCACAATTGATATTGGCTGTTAGAGTGACATTTTTAAATTCTCCGCCAACTTGTCCATGAAGACATTAGCCAACAGAGGTGAGAGTGGTGAGTCCATAGACAAACCAAATATTTGCTGTTAGATGCGGTCATTGAATGTGAAATAGGTCGTTCTTATTATTAGGTTGAATAATCGGGTTAGAGGTCTCATCGCATTCGCTCTTTCTTCAATATGTCTTTTTTTTTGCCAAGATCTCCCCTAGTGTGGTGAGTGCTTTTTCTCCTGTGATGTTAGTGTACATGGCCTGTACATCAAATCTCAACGAAAGTTCGTTTTTTTCCAGACTGGCGCATTTGATTAATCTCACCAGAAGACGATGGCTGAATCCCATTGTACTGAGGCCATTTGGCTTGACTACGGCGTTCAGGTTGACGCAGTCCACGAAACATCCTCCCTCGTTTCGGGTGAGAACTGGATAAACTTTCGTCCATCATATGATGGGCATCATCAGAGCTGCAACTAATTCTTGCAAAAGTCTCACGTTAACACTAATACAAGAAGAGTATCCGGTTCTATTTTACCTCTTATATAAACTCAAGTAAACCATATCCGAGCAAAATTAGCAGAAACAATACGAAATATAATATATGAAATCGGTCAACCAGAAAGATAAAGAACGGATCTACGAGACAACGAAAGGATCTGGATTGGAGGCCCGAGTCGGATAACCCCATCGAAAGAGAGGGATCGGAGTAAATAGTAAGTGTGATGAGGCCACACTAGATTCGTCACAAAAGGGCACACATTTTTATTATTGGAATGTAAACAAGTGAGAAGTTGTGATAGGGCGGCAGTGGGATAAAAGGATAAAGAGTAGATAGATAGACAATAACAAAAATATGAGTGATATTGTAACCGTTTTCGGCAGAACGGTTGTCGAGGGATTGACTTCACTTGTCTCTTTGACGAGTTCGTGGCTTGTTTTGAGGAGTGACAAAACTGACTGATGATGCCGACTACGATGCCGGCGAAAAGTTTTGAGAGTCCACTGTCAGATGCTGGCAATCATGACAACTAGTATGGCAGACGACTTCGGACTAGGTGCGTTCTACTAAGTCGCCCTGACAACAAGACCAAGTTGCCACAATGAGTTCAATTCACTTCCACAATATGAAATATCTATCTATCTATGCTTTATATGTTTCTTTTGCTTAATTAGGTCTATATAGGAGGTAAGATAAAGTCTTCTTGACCAAGTGTTAACGCGAGATTTTTACAAGAATGAGGTTAAGCTCTAATGATGCCCATCATATGATGGGCCCGTTTTCACACAAAACGGGGTAAGATGTCTCGTGGACTGCGTCAACCAGAACGTCGTAATAAAACCAAACGGTTGCAGTACAACGGAATTCAGCCGTCGTCTTTTGGTGAGATCTACCTACGAATCTCTTCTTCATGTACTTTCATATGACATGTAGGTCTCCTACAGAGAATTTGTTTAGGTTATTAAATGGAATAGTATAAAAGAAACAGCCGACATGAAGGTTGATAGGCCATCACTTTTGATGTCCCAGTTAGTAAAAGTGTGTGAAGAGACAAATAAATACAGATTTTCTTCTAAATCTCTTTAATGCTCATACTCGTGGGCTTAGAGATGAGAAATCTAAATGAAATTTCGGCATAAAACAATTATCTACAGGACTTTTAAGGCTACCAATTGATCTGATATGAGAGCTGTATTCAACCTATTTAATTTTATGTGACGAAGAAACGGTGGTTGAATTTGCCCACAATCGGCTGAGTAGGCCTTACATTTTCGTTTACTTTCCCGTAGACTATCTTCCCGAATTATATTCCCAACCATACCACAGAATACGCTATAGGGAAATGTCTGACCCTCCTTTAAATTCACATCTTCCCTACGGCCAAACAGAACTCATGGTAGTGTGACGTGTTTAGCGTGTCGAAAGTATACGCTGCAGTACCACAAGCCGGGATCGAGTCCGACTGTGGGTGCTGATAAGACCAGTTCCACTTCAGCTAAGATGAGAATACCTTTAGGGAGGGAAGGCTGTGCGACAGTTAATGGAAGCCCGGATTGGTCTGCTTCGCACAACCGCTCGCCGAGGACATTTTTTAGCCAAAATTCAGTAAAAGTTTTAGAGTTAAAAATGACCATCGAAAATATTGTGGAAGATGATTTAAGTGACAATATGAGTTCATGTCGGCTGACATGATATCCATCCATGGCGTACAAAAGTGGAGGACGTCAGCAAAATCATGACATGTCTTGTTGGGCGCCAAAGTTGACCCGTTTAGAGGAAGAGGGGATTATTCATAGATAATGGTTCCTAGCTCTGACAAGGTGGGTGATATGACGGACAAAAGCTCTGCATGGATTCATCGGAGTTAAATGACGCTGAGCCGAGGTCTTCTTCGCACAATTCAACTGTATCCAATTAGGCCAATTTATGAATTTTCTGCTCCCATTTTTTCAAATAAAATTGAAGGCATTTCATTATCACTCTACTCAGGGAACCTTAGAAACCCAGCTCTTATTCATAGGCCACGCACACACAATTTCCACATGTACACCGAATACAGCAACCTTAACAACCGGTCCGAAGGGCACACACACACACGCATTGACTGATTTACATTCATCACTCGGCTTCTAATGTAAGGGATCTGGTAGACGCTCAAACAAATGAAAGTCAAATCAACTCATTACAACGTATGCCTCAGAATGTAGCATATCACCTTGCCTACAATTGATATATCTTTCAGCCCAGCCAGGCTCCGAGATTTCCGAGGGAGAACTTGCATAAATGGGCCAATGGTGGACCTCATTCTTGAACGTGACTCCCGGACAGTTTTGATATTCCCCATTGTTTGGCCTGATTTGTGACCTTTACCATTTTGTGAAGCTCCAACAGTGACTAGGAGATGCCTCATTGTGCTGTTGTAACCGGATACACACGCACATGCACCATTTCTCGCACTGGGCTTGCTGTAATAGACAACTTTCCGACTAGTCGAGAATGATGGAATTAGCTTTTGCGCCCTCCCACAAAAGGTGTAATCCTTCAGTCGACATTCACTTCCCCCGTAGGACGAAACAAGGGAAAGCATGTGGTCTTGGGTCACATGGCTTCTTGGCGAGGCTTACAATGCTTTTTTCTACCTTATTCGGTCCAGTATTAACAAAAACCTTTGTTCTGCACTATCGACTTTGGTCACTATATTTGTATGACGAAAAGAGGTGAAACTTCCCACTTGTAAATCAAGCGACCACACAAAGGTATGCAAGTGCATAGCCATATGTGAATATTCTCACCCTAATTCTTTTAGGACTGGCTTGATCTTATACATCTGCTGTTTCTAAGGTGTTGAGGTTAATAACTTTTTACGCCTTAGCAAAAGACTTCAATACTGATACAACATCGAGACACTTACAC